CAAGAAGTGGAGACGATGCTGAACCAAGGCGAGACTGACGAACAGGCTGTACAAAAGATGTGTCACCCTCTCTGCTCCTGTGACAGCTGTGACAAGTTGGCTTCTGGGTAAAGAAACGACCTCAGTATATTTAAAAATAAAAAATTAAACACCGTCCTCATATTTCATGCACAATTAATTTACAATCTTATGCAGAATTTCGGGCACCAAATAATGTGTTTTAATGATCATATCATTGGAAAAAGTTGATGTCTGTAGAATGCAAATGTCAATATTCTGGTGCCTGATATCCCTATGTTACATTATCAACCCGATAACCAGCGTCCCTCCCCCCCCCTCGCCTCACCGCAGTGTAGGGCTGTGGTGGCCAATTACTAGCTCTTAGCATCGTGGCCCAGTGGGGCATGTCATTAGGGGGGTGATTTTCAAATCCTCCACCCCAACATATTCTAGCCATTAGATGGAGCCGAGGAGCGTAGGCACTTTCCGAACAGCATTAGTATGCGCTGGTACTTGTGTACTGCCGTGTATGCGTACGGACGTAAATCCCTGGATGCAGCATAGAGGCATTGACTTCTATAGGAGGGTGTATGAAGCGGCTCGCTGGTGGTAGTCAATATGGCCTCCCCTGAGCACTGAGCCCTTAGTATGTTGCTTGTCTAGCTTTCTGCCTTTTAAAGGACACTTAACAAGACCATAAAATCCGCTCTAATGTAGCTGATATGGATAATAGAATTCCACTTATAGGTGCCTTGTGACTATGTAGCTTTAAAAGCTCCTCCCCGCCCACTAATATATTTATAATGTGCTGTGTACATTACCACTTACATAATACAATCATTAAATAATAACATTCTAAAAAAAAAAAAATCATTATTTTTGTGTTTTTTTTTCCTATGAACTGAGAAGGGCCCGGTTTATTGTTTACATATTAGCTAGTGCGTACGTCCATTCCATTGGGCCGATTTAATCATGTGCGTATGAAATAAATAAGAGTTTGCTTTTGTTTCACGCCCATTGGGTGACACAGGAACTCTTAACTCTCTGGGTTATACTGCTGCCTATAGGAGGAGTGGACACTGGCCCCAGCACGCCTCAGTTCCCCCTCCGCCCCAGCACGCCTCAGTTCCCCCTCCGCCCCAGCACGCCTCAGTTCCCCCCTCCGCCCCAGCACGAGAAGAAGTGAAGGAACCGGCGGCTTGCGAGGGGCCTGCCTGCGCAGCCCACGCCCCCTCCCGCCCCTAAATGCAGGTGTTTTTTCGTTGGTAGATCTCAATGAGCTCGTCATTTGAAAAGTAGATCTCCAGACGAAAAATAGTGGGCGCCCCTGGTTTACATGCTCAGCAGAGATGCAAGTTTATAATTTGCAGGTATTTGCAAATGCCATTAATTCATCTATTTAGTCATCTACACCTCATTATATTTTAATTTTTTGATGCACCTGATGTTTTTTTTTTTCTTAACATTCTTTTTTTCTTTCCTCCCGTCTTATAGGAAGTTAAATGATACGTCAATCGTCACTCCTTTATCTCGAGACGATCGGGGTTACACCCCCCTTCACATCGCAGCCATCTGCGGTAAGACCCGAGCTCCTCTGCTGCAGGAACAAAACTTACTTTGCTAAAAGGTCATCCTCTGCCTGCCATTTACCTTCCCGTACTTAATGGAGTTGTAAAGTCCCAGCACATCCTCTCCTGTTATGACATCGGCATTGTAATAGGAATACATAGTACAGTCGTTCCTGATAATACAATCAAAGCTTACATGACAAAATCCCTTTTATGTAGTGAGCGCTGCCTTCCGCCTGCCCATCACTTCCAACAACTTCCTGGATCCCCAGTGTGCTCTGCGTCTCTTTGATGTGATGCAATCTCCATTTCTCAAGACTACATCTCCCATCATGCATTGCTTCCAGGGTACATTGTTCATATGTTGAGTTGTAGTTCAGACGGCAGGCTCTGTGAGAGTTGTAACATTGTGTCAGTGCATTGAGGAAGTCCATCCTATGGGCATCTTCAATAATTATGTTTACAATCTTCTAGATGGATCTGGTTATTAGGAGCGTGAGAGAACTTACAGAAATTTATTATAGAAATACAGATTTATTTTTAGTTTTTGACCATTAATTAAATTCATGTGTTCTGTTTTTGTAGGACAGTATTGGTTCATTGATCTGCTGATCTCTAAAGGAGGAGTGGTTAACGCCACGGATTACCACGGGTCTACACCACTACACCTGGCATGCCAGAAGGGCCACCAGAAGATAGCGGTGAGATAAAAATTCCAATGCACTGCACACTTCAATCTTTTCATTTTGTTTTTTTTTGTTTTTTCTTTCTTACACCCGCATGTTAGCTGACATTTTAGATCAGGCTCGCAGTGCATTGCAGTGAAGGGGCTGAACAGGAGGTGAGACACCCTGTGCTCTCATTTATTTTGCACAGCCCAGCTCTCTGGCAGTGTTGCACTTCAAACACCGATAGAGGTCAGGGAAGTGAATGCACATAGAGTTCAGGCATATGTCAGGAGGCAGGTACGGGCCATGTAGAGCATTGGTTACAGTCCCAGGCTCTAGAAGACGGAGGGTGTGGCTACCTTTGGGGCCCCCTTCCTGATGTCAGGGAGGAGATTCTGTGACCTTCACATGGGTTCACCTGTCTCTTCCCACTCAGGGGTCTCTAGTACTCAGTGGACCTGTTTTGGCTGGTCCATGAGCAGAGGGGTCCGCCGGCCTTCGGGTAGGTGGACCTAAGTCGTTCTTGCCCTGGTCAGGAGACTTGCGCCCTG